TTAGGTAAAAAATACTTTAAGTACTTTTATAGTAATATATAAAAACATATTTGAATTTTTGGCTACAAACTTTAATTATTTACTTCTTTAAGTTTAGTTTAGAAGGGTGAAATAAGTTGGTAGAAATGTAATTAAAGTGACCATTTTTATATGTTTTTCATGTTCAAAATAAACAAATATAGTAATTTTATTATATTTTTGTGTGTCTGTATTTTACATATTATTTAAGTTAGAAAATAAATTCATAGAATGTCTAATTCTATTTTTTATTCTTAAATTACAGAAAAATAAAAACAAAATTAATGAAAAAATACTATAAATTTTAGAATATACAACAAAAAAATTAGTTTTTCTGAAAAATAACAAATAGTTAATTTAATTGAAGTTTTGAATATATTATGAAAAGAATTTTGTTGCAGTGTTACATTCTATTATAATTTTATTATTTCATATCAAACATTATCTTTGATGTTTCAGGATGTCAATATTAACAAAACTCTATTAATATGTTTTGTCAAATAAGAATGAAATCTTACTCGTAATCTTATCTTTAGTGTCATCAAGATGATCTACATCATTTGGAATTGCTTCTAGATCAATCAAATTAGGGTAACCTTCAATGGTTTCGCACATCTTTTTGTGGGTTCGCTTTCATTTGGAACTTGAATGCGAGTTTGGAAAATGTCACCCACATCTGTGACACAGATAAACCATGTTACTTCCTTCAAATTTCAAGATATCAACAAACCTAGATGAATTCTATGTTTGCTTTGATCCGAGAAACCACATGTTAGGAAATTGGTTAATTTAATATAAAATAAGAAAAAAATGCAAGAAACCTGGAGGAATTCTATGTTTGCTTTGATCTTGGACAACCATATATGGTTATAGAAAAGAGAGATTGGAGGAGAAAATAAAAGAATATATTGAGAAAGAGTTGGAAGAATTAGGCTAGTTTTGCTATAAAGTGTTGGTTGATAAATTGGTGGGAGCTATTATATAACATATAAAAAATGTTGCTTTATGTCACACCCCAAAACCTGAACGGCGGAAACGTTCGGGGGCGGAGGACGTCATGTACAGTATCACAAAAATGCATAATAGTAAGTAAGCAACAACATCATCCATTGCATTAATAGTAATAATTTTAATACAAGTGTGTTCTGAAGTTTATAAGACACCAAAAATAAATATCAAAATTAAAGATGAGTCTTGAATGTGCTCCATCTTCTCAAAACCTGGCAATCGGTACTTGTCTATTGGCGACCTGAGAATACAAGTTATTTTGAAAGCGTAGATCGGAATTTAAGCTGGTGAGTTCATAAGTATTTTAGTGTCAATGTTTGTATAAGTTTGAAGAATGTACTTGTAAATGTTTGATGTAAAAGTTTGTATGTGTTTGATGTATATGTTCGTAAACTTCCTAGAAAATCATATATTTTCTACTAAAGTAGTCTTCTACCAAGACTCAACTGTTCTTTATGTTTGTTCTTTTGTAAAAGT